GTAGCCGTGCCATGCTGCGTAAAGACTTCGAATATTTGGAATGTGCAATTTTATGGATTCAGATGGCATTATTTCACAGTAACCTTGCTTTTAGGATCTTAAAGGAGAGGGGGTTCTTTTTGCACAATGTGACTTTACGACATTTAAACAACTGAAACATGTCGTTTGCATCATTTAATGGTTCAGTTATACGTTTATCCGTATTAATCGTTTCACTGCAAACGCTAAATACCAGCAGCCTCAAACTACTTAAATGCGTCTACGAGTAAAGAAACGGTGCAGTGACGTGGAACTGTACATAAATATTCCTCTGCCCATATAAGTACAAACGGTAGCATTCTCTAGTCATATCTGTCACCGTTATGGATGGGACATGAATGCTAGTTGACACTTGTCCAAAATGCTGTGTTCCCCGTCTTCCGCCTCCTCCACCGGCAAAATAATTTGATGGTGGGATCGTCAAAACCTGCCCTTGGATGTTTGTAGTCCAGCGGAACCCTGCTTGCGGTTCCGTACGTCTCTCGGGCGAGCCACCTGGCAAGCCGACCTCCCTCAGGAGTCACAGGAAGCAGAAATTATGTCTGTTAATTCACTCCACCGTCGACCTTGTACGCTTTGAACATGATTATGGGTTGGGACTATATCGTTTTTCGCTCCTTCCGTTTGTTCTACTCGGCTTTACTTACAGACCAACATGCAGCGCTGTAGATCATGGCGAGTAAAACGGTTGAATCGAATAATTCGTCCTTCACTCTCAAAGTAGAGTGATAATGCTTTAATACGATTAAAGCTGGCACATGCAGCCTTTTTCTTCGGCTGATTACCCCGTCAAGCGAGTTCATGCGATCCGTCGGACGGCCAACATATGAATAGCTAGTGACCTGAAGTTCCTCACTATTCGTGTAGACAGATCCCTCCGGACAGTGATCCTTTCGCATTCATTTCGTCTTGGAAAACATAACCTCCATTTCGATGACGAAAGATCCTTCTTGCAACATTTCGATATCAGACAATCTTGCGAATAACAACTCTTGTGTTTGCTGCTCTTCGAAAATATTAATACCGTTGCATTTCTGGATAGATACTCGATGAATATTTTATTGGAATGTACAGTACCGCTTCAGTGCCTTTTACATGATGCATCTATTATCAACCTACCAGTGAAAGCCCCAGATTCAATAAGCTCGATTCTTATTTCCACCTAGGCAAAAAACAGTCACACTTCCCTCAGCGCGAAATCATTCTTGACATAAGATGCACGTCAGATCATGCTAACTATTCGCTGTGACTACTTTTATTGATCGCGTAATAAAAACTAGCTAGTTAAGTAGTTTGATGCCATGATTGGCAGCAAGACTATTAAGCAAAAAATATCTTCAATTAAAGCATGAACGTTCAGGCCCGTGAAGCAATGCTAAGAGAATCAGGAAGTGCGTTTCAAAGGCCACAGCTGTCTTTGGTAGCGACCAGTGATACTGAAGAAGAGAGGAAATAATGACAGGAAGCCAGCAAAAGCATAACTTTGTAGCCAACACATCAACTTGTGTCTTACAGACCCAGTTCAAGGCAAAGCAGAGTCAGCTGCTGCCGTTTGTTTGGCCATCTTGAGGACGGTCCGCGGTCAAAAGGAAAATCCCTAGCATTTAAAACGTCACAATGCCATATATGACTGACAACATCTCGCTTTTCACGGAGTCTGGGATGAGGCACTGATCTCTGTCAAAACATCAACAGCAGCCAGAAGTGTCATACTGTAAAGGTAGTGTCTACGGCGTAAAGCTACTATAGCATGCCACCTTCTGTTTCTTCCCCTTATGGTGTTACTCATCCACGTTTTTGTGAAGTATGAAAGACGAGCTGCTCTGGTCAGGATTCCAATCCATGATCATTGAACTGTGAGCCCGAAGTTCTATCGAACGAACCATCTGATCCATATCAGTTAGAGATTCACCATCTGAATATAAACCGGCGCTAAATAAATTGTGCTTTGCTGTACATCTCACGTTACCATGAGCTCAGGCCTCAAATATTCACTTGCATCCAACTGGCATGGGCGCACAGTGCAAAAGAGGTCGGTTTCGAAATTGGACTGACG